GTTTTGGGTTTTGGGTTTTGGGTTCAAGAACTTCAATCTCAACACCCTGTGCTAAGCCCTCAGCCCAGTTCTTGTTGATCCCCATCCCACACTCGAAACCCTAAACCCTAAACCCTAAACCCCAAACCGGTTTAGGGTTCAGGGTTTAGGGTTTCCACACTCGAACGCCTAAAGACGAAGCTCGGAACACTGGACGCCAAGCTCTTAACCCTCAAACCCTACGTTGTAACACCTCACAAATTGAAGACATCCTCAGCCGGGACCATCCTGCATGAGGGCCCCCCCAGTTTCAAGAATTCAGAAGGCCGTTCAAGCTTCAGAGCTCTGTTTAGGGTTTAGGGTTTAGGGTTTAGGGTTTAGGGTTTAGGGTTTAGGGTATCGACATGTCACGGGTTTGCTTTTCTAGAGCTGCGTGCAGCGGAAGCTGAAACCTCCCTCTCCTCCGGAGACAAAGATGTGTCTGTGTCTGTTCCATGGCCCTCCTCGGCTGCTCAAATCAGTTACGGAAGTGATATGCTACATATGTTGGAAACATCTCAATGCCGAAAAGACAAAGGAGCTTGAGCTACCAAGCTTCATGCTGATATACTGCTTGAGCCTTCAGCCGCATGGGAACCGGGAGAAATCCGAAGAGCAAGAAGGCGCAATAAAAGCAGGATTGCATCGAAGACCAGGGGGCCCAGGAGCGAGAACCCACGTAGAGTTTAGAGTTTAGGGTTTAGGGTATAGGGTTTCAGAAGGCCACGAAGAGGCCGATCGTGACCAGCAGGATGCCGCAGATGATGACAAAGTCCCAACACATCTTGCCTCCCTAGCTTCGGCCGACGCCGCGTCACAGCAAACATGTAAGCCTCGAGGTCACCAGGAAAAGAGTGGGCCAGGCATCCAAAGTCCATCCGAGCCCTCGAAAGATCTCCATCGCGAAAACCTGCATCTCATGACGAAGAACAGGCTTGTGGCCGCCTTTCGGCCGGAAGTACCAGTCCATTGGCTCGGACGCTGCGGTGCCCAGGAAGTGCCACAAAACGGGCAGAGACATGACCACAAACTCCCGGCAAGTCAGAATGTTCGTTGCGAGCCTTAAACACATTAGTTCCTTAAAGCTGAGTGGCACTGTCAGGATGCTCTATGGGAGAAGCAGGAGGAGCCCTGCACAGGTAAACTTCCTCGCGAGATTCTTAGTCTCCAGGGGTTCTGGAATTCGGGGGGTGGGCCTTTGGGGGCCCTCCAGGGCTAGATAGGGTTTACGATAAAGCGTAGGGTTACTTAGGGTTTAGGGTTTAGGATTGAAGCTTAGGACTACTTAGGGTTTAGGGGGGGGTCAAGATTTGCTTACTCCTTCAGCTAAGCTTTTGGAAACTTCATCGAACCACAGCCCAGAACCCCAACCCCAAACCTCAGTTTTGCAATCCCAAACGATTGCACCTCCCAGTTGGAATCTTGTAGGTGACTATATTAAGACCTTCGCCAGTTGGCCCTTTCCAAGCCCTCCGCCACAAACGTGATCCAGTGAAAAACGTTTATGTTCCTATCTATATGCACACCCTACCGTAACCTACTTTTTTGGTAGGTTCTGGTTGGACACCCTAATATGGAAGAAACTGGAACTCCACAAACAACGTGGGCCTGCAAGGTCGGGCTTTAGGATTTGGTTGGTTAGGATATTGGACAGTCCGGTTTGCGACCATGGTTTAGGCGGCTGTATAGGGTGTTAGGGCTTAGGGCTGGTAGGGTTTAGGGTTTTGCAGGGACTGACCGATTGGGAGCCACGCCAAACTTGTCACGACAACCCGAAGAGCCCACGATCTGGATCCAACGCCGAGGCTGCAGAACCGAAACCCTGGGTGCGAACGCTCTATAGAATAAACCAGGTCCCGAGACTTGTTCAAGTTCCCGTTTCGCTGGAACCTAAGTTATATACATACCTTAAACCGCAATTCCCTGATAATAAACCCTAATTCTCCAATATTCTAAGCAACATAAACCCAACCTTGAAGTCTAAATCCCAGTTAAAGTCCCTATAAACCTCAAACTTGTCCGTCCCCGAGCGCGTGGCCGCCCCACGCCCAGCCAGGTCGTGGTCGACGGCGCCATCGAAGTTGAAACGAGGCTTTTGCAGCGTGCTTGGGGCTTCGAAGCTCCAAACCCTAAAGGAGGTTCCGGGGAGTAGAAATTTATGGGTCTTGTAGGGTCTTGGAAGCTTTCAGACGTACTTCGGGCCCACGCTCCAGGTGCTCTCCATATGATTCATTGCAAGTGCATGTTAGGATGTGACGCACGCGTGTGGGGGTGCAAGATGCTGAGCCAGCGCGCACCTCGAACAATGCAAAGGTTGCAAAGCTGTACACTTCTGCTTCTCAGTAGCACGGCTGGAGGGTCTCTCGTGCAGCCAAGGCTAAGGTACCTTCGCTTCAGCAATAGCTGTCTCGCGGACATCCCTCGACGCGAATCTCCCTCACAGAGCAAGCCTGGTGGTTTTTTGTTGCCGGGAGCGACCAGAGGGATCTGCGTTGGTTCCGCAGAACTAGAAGCCGTTGTAGGTGAAACTGCAAGCCTGCGATCCGTGTAGAGGTCCAGGGTTGACGGGATTTTGCCCCGACTCGACAGGTCCCTTCAACCAATCGCAAGAAGGAGCCCGATCTTAAATGTTTAGGCAGCACCCCCCAAACGCACATGTTTGGCAAAGGCGCTAGAACTGCAACTCTGCTATCCCACTCGTGCCAGTCTCGAAGACATTACCGCCGAGTCAGGGGCGACAACGTGGCCTCAATGTCGATAAAGATGCAAAGTAATCAGTTCTTCGAAATATCATCTGTAGCAGAAGGAGAGCTTGCATGTTGCTTTACAGGTGTACTTGCTCTTCGAAGTTCACGGAGAAAGATGGAGCCTCTGCTGCGATCCCAGCTGGATCTCATGCCCTCTTCTGCCTATATCGCAGCATAGAAAGCCGTACTGCAGGAAAAAAATGCCTGCACCTAAGCAGCCTCATGGCTTCAGACTCTGTCCTCGGCCAGGTGGGACCCAGATCCTTGGCGGTAGCGGTTCCTCTACCCATGCCGGTACAGTACTCATCCCCCAAAAGCCGGGCCATCAAAGGTTCAGCCGGGCCCTGCCCCAAGTTTGTGTCTATGACATCGCTTTGATCCTGAAAAAAGTGAAAGGCCCCAGTCTCTGCATGTGGTCGAATGACGGTGGTTGGGGTGGTTCACGGGGCCTCGAAGCCACATCGGGGCTTTTCAGGTCCGCATCTCCAATCTGATGAAAGCGCTGTGAGCCTGACCACGCTAAGTTTGATTGCTTACGTCCGAGCAAGCCTCCCTCATGAGTTGCCAGCTGGGCCACCGAAAACCTCACGGTAAGCCCCGAAGCCCTAAGCCGTAAAATTTTGAGGAACTGAACCGATGACTGGCTTCCCCACGTGCCACTCGACAGGCCGTTGCATTCAGAACCCATCTTCCTACAGAAGGACAAGCCGACATCACAACGGCAAGAAGCACTTGCTTTTCCCATGCAAAGGGTCTGGGAGAAGGATGGAGTTTTTGGGGGAGTCTTGGCCATCCGCACAATGCTCTACATGTCCCCTTCTGATCTGAACATGTGAACCACTCCCAACGGATGTGACAACAAGCTGAGCTCTGTGCACGAAATGGGTGGCAGCCACTTTACCTGTCACAGGCTGCAGACTGTATGAAGCAAATGTGCCGCGGGGCCAGTGGCTGTCGCGGGTTCTGCCAGCACTGAGATTCGCAAAGGGCCCTCTATCCCACAACAAATGCCCACTTCTCGTGATCCATGGCGGCATGTGAGGAGGCATCCTGAATTACCAGTCAGGTCCCTTACTGCCGCTTGTCTCCGGGAAAGCACAGCGGAAACACACACGCAAGATCCCGAGCCCACCTTGGTGCCTGTATAGCCGGTGATCGCCTCGACAAGTAGATCTCCCACCGCGAGCTACAGTAGGTCAGTAGGTGTCGTGAACGTTAAGAAGGCGCTCAGCTGATCTCCGTATGGAACAAGCAAATGCAAAAGATGGCAGTCTGCAAAGGGCCCGCTTTCTGTGGGCTTCTCCGATGCTGCAGCCCGTGCATTGCGTTCCCACCAATCCCCAGCCAAAACTCTCCGACAGGGTACACCGGCTGGAAACCCAAATGCCAAGAACGAATAGCGACTGGCATCTGACCCACGGTCATTGCTGGCATGCAGCCAGCTTTGCATCGCCCTGGAAAGGTATGTCGAAAGAAGTTGCCTGAGCTGCGTTTTCCAGGCGGAAGGTCTCCTGATTTGCTTCCGTATGATACCGAGCGGTTTCTTTGAAAGATGAAGCAGGACTCCCTTTTTCCAACCCTCTTGGGCGGCGCCTGGAGCATCTGCTCTCGGGTCTCTCCGACCATGACCTGCAGGCTGAGAGGCTGAGCTAAGCTAAGCGTCAGCCTAGAGCAGCAGAGCAACTGCGTAGTTACTCCGAGACCTGGGATCCGATCATGGTGAACCCGGGATTAGAATTTTCACATGAACGGGCAAAGCAAAGAACGATCCCAGCGTACTCGCAACAGCCTGGTAACGAGGCCTCTCTTCCACGTCGCTCCCTCACCGAGAGCTAGGCCATTCAATGGTTTTCCATAATGAATAAGGATTCACAATGCTGCACTCGAAGCTCACCGGAACTCCCGAAGAACGGCAGGGCCGGCCAGGAACCGGGGAAGGTTGCTCCCGCAAATTCTCCGAACTCACTGTCAGCTGAAACCGCTCGCCCGGCAACGAAGCCACTGGTGCCATTTGGTTCAAGTTCGGACCCCTCCGTTCAAGGGCTTGCGCTGCCCACCGGGAAATCTGGCCTTGGCCACTCGAGTGTCCAGGTCTGCGATCACCTCGATGTACCTGGCACAAACATGACGAGGAAAACGATCCTTACCCGTGCGATCCTGCGTGACGTTCCATCCGCACTCTTAGGAGCGGACTTCTTGTAGATGTCAAACTCCTTGGCTGCGTCCGCTTCAGGCTCGCGCAACATCTTCACTTTTGGGGCCACGGGGTGCGCCTCGGGGATGCCTCCAGCACGCCTTCTCGGGGGAAACTTACCGGACCGTCAGTTCCGGCTTCGGCTTTCTGCATCAACCCGACACCGGCAGCCCTCTTTGCTTGCAAGCGACGGGATGATCACAACCGGACGCTAGAGACTTGATGCCGTAGCCGCGCTTCCGGTACTTGATGTGGTAGCCGCCCTTCCGGTACAGGAACATGTCCTGGGCCGAGGGACGGCGCAGGGAACGCTCCCGGGCGCCTGGAACCCTCTGCGGGGGCGGGAGGGAGGGCGGAGCTTTTCCCCTCGTCCGAGGCGCCTTTTCCGCTTCCTCCGCAGGGATGATGCCGATGATCAAGCGATCGTCGCCTCCCTGGCTCTTGATGCACCTCGAGCTCAAGGCCGCCGGGGCGCTGGCGCGACGGAATAAGACACTGCAGCGGCGTGCACAGCGGCATGCACGGCGGTCCACAACACGACGGTCCCAACTTCGACGGCTTTTCAAACTCGCTATAGCCCCCGCGGATTCCTCCTGCGAGCCCAGGAGCCATCGCAGGATTCCCGTGGACGCCGTCTCCGCACTGACGAGCCTGAGCCGAGCGGTGTCTGGGCCTTCGGGGCTTCCGGAAACTAGAAAGCTGGGCTGTCGTGCGCGTTTCTAGCTGAGACACCCATCAAAAACGGCTGAAACAGATCAGCCCTTGGCTTACTTAGCTGGAGTGAGCGAGCATGTTCGAAGTGGAGGGGTGTTGTGCCAGCCCAAACTCGCACACCCGAAGCCTTCAAGCGCCCGAGCCCGTGGGGCTCTCTAGCTGCCCTGCAGTCGAGCGACACGCTGGGTCCAACTCCTGGTTTGTGAGACGTTGGCTTCTGAAAGCATGCTGGCTCGAACCCAAGGTGCACGTAATCAACTGCCAGGCCGCGCGACTGCATTCTTGCACTACACTGAAAGGTCCGTCGCTTCCTGCTGTTGCTTTAGTTTCATTAATTACTGCAAGTAACTCTTGGGATCGATGCGGCCTTTCTTCGGCTCAGAAAGCATCTTGACGGCTAGTGAAGTCATGTGTGCATCACGGCGTATGACGTATGCAACACGGTACAACGAAGACTACATCTGAAACTAGGACCCCCGCTCCATCCCAAGGAGGCCGGAGCTGACCTACCAGAAGCAGAATCCCTCGCCAAGGTCCGACCTCAAACTCCATCGACGAACCTTTGCCTCTACCTCAGGCCCAGCCCGAAGCCCCGACGGCTACGGCTACGGCCGCTTACCATGCCCAGTGGCCGTCTTCGTCTTTCAATTTCGCTTCGTCGCCATCGAAGTCCCAGTCGTGTCGCCCGCCGTGCCTCGGAGACCGCAGGGTCGAGGCGACGGAGCATCCAGCACTTCTCAGACCCGAAGTCGAGCTGGGATCCTCTGGCTGCTCTTGTTGCGAGTGTACCGAGGTGCTGCAGTCATGGAGTCTCTGAAGTAAGCATGGGAACAAAGCAGCCTTGTCGTCTGCCTGGAGGTTGTAATGAAAGCACACTGCCATACTTCAAGAGATCTGCAAGAAGGTCGCTTTCTAGGGCAGGGATTGCAGGCACTTTACGCTAGCATTCTCTCCCATGCTATTGACGCTGTCACACGGTTCCTGCCGCGGCCCGGCTGACACGAGTCTACGATCCACCTGTGAGAGAGGGGCTTTCGCCAAGCGACTCCCTGTCGAAGGTGGCATACACTTCCTTCCGGGCGACCTCCGGCTGCTTTTCGTGCTCTGTTTCAAGGGGCTTACGGTTGTTTTGGGGTTGAGGGAAGCTTCGTGGAAGCTTCAGGTCCACATGGGGCTCACGCAGCGGGTCACGTTTGCTAGAGTATCTGCTCCAAGCAACAATAAACTGCCATGTCCATTTGCGAATTCTCAAACTGCAGGGTGCTTGCTTGCTCAGAAGGTATCCGCGGGGCCTTGAATCCGCTACTTGGGACGAAATCCAAACTTGCAAGTAACTTGATCTATGTGTGCACCCTCGTTTTTCAATTCTTGGCCTCAGTTTTGATTTGTCGGCCGATGCTGCCTCTCCGTCGTGCAGGGGGAAATCTTAAAAGGAAAAAGATCAGTAGAGAGTTGTATCGACGTACTGTTTGCACGTACACTGTCTGGTCCGCCTTGCGCACTCCTGCTGATGTGTGCGTGCCGTCTTGCACAAGCCTGGCTTACGCTTCATACAGTAATTACCTGTGAACATGTTCGAAGCAGGAAGAACGGAAAAAGGGTCTCCGCTCCAACAGATGCACGATTACACGGCGCGCCGCCCGCCTCGGGCAGAGGGTCGAAGAGGAGCTCGGTGGGCGCTGGAATGCTGTTGCTGTCGGTGTCCCAGACGCTCGACGTCTTCACCGCTGCGGCTTTGGGCTTGGGCCTGGAGGCTTCCACGGGGGGCTGGCTGCTGACTTCCGGAAATGATTCAAAGGCATCCTGGGCTGCGACGCGGGCTGCGTCGGGACCGCTGTCCTTCTGATGTGCATTTTCTTGTCGGCTGAGATTCACTGCCGCCAGGGCGGCTTCGTGCATCGTCTTTGCAGCTTCCGCGACCCGGTGGGAGTCGGC